AAATTCACAAAATGAACAAAGAGAAAGGAATGTGTCATTTTTCCTCCCTTCCCTCACGTTTTCCACCTCTTGCCTTCTACTTAAACTGCTGTGACAACCCTCCCAAACTGTTTCTCTAGCTTTTACCCAAATCCAGTCAACTCCATCAATTACTGGCTGAATTAACTTTCCAAAGGCCAACATCTTGCCATTATCTCTGGACTGTTTATTTCTGGTGGCTCCCTATAATCTACCAAGTGCCTTAGCTTAGCCTGGCAAGCCATGAAGATACAAGCATAGTAAATCTTCTAGCCTATACACAAGCTGAACTTATATGCTGTATCCCACATACACCTGCTAGCAATGGTTGCCCTATATTCATGCTATTCCCCTCACTGTTAGGAGGCTCTTTTCTTTATCCCCATACCTGTCCATTTTCCCACCACTGGGACATAATACGGAACTCCCTCATCTTAAAAAGGCGGAGGTTTAAGGGCTAGTGAAATACCTCAGCTGACTAAGTGGCTGCTCTGGCAAGTGCAGGGATCAGGGTTTGGTCAGTCACTCATACAGCACCAGCCCTGCCCCCAGGGCAAGCTGAGCCAGGAAATGAGTCCAGGTTTGGTAGCACACGCCTGTAATCCCAGTCCTGAGGAGGCTGAAAACAGAAGGATCACCATGAGTCTGAGCTGCATAGTGAGACCCTGTACCAAATACATAACTAAAAAAAAGAAAGAAAAAAAGAAGAAGGAGGTTTAATTTGGCCCTATGTTTTAGAGGATTTAGCCCTTGGTCAACTGACTCCCAAACAAGAACATCAAGGCAAAAGGCCCAGTGGAACAAAGCTGCTCAGTTCATGCAGGCCAAGGAGCAGAGCAGGGAAACAGAGGTAGGAAGAAAAAGCAAGGGGCCAGGTACTGTACCCAAAGTCACGCCCTCGTGACACACTTAGGCACACCCAGAAGTGTACATTACCAATACCTTCAGCAGCGCCCAGGCCAGGCAAGTTGACATAACAAAGCTTAACCACCACAATCCCCTTTTCCACTGACAAAATTCTGCATAGATATCAAAGAATATTATTTTAAAAATCTGCTTGCTACTGTTCCTTAAGAAATTTATCATAAATTTATTGAACTTGCTAGAGTACATTTTTTATTCTATTAAAGTACTTATGATAGTCTGAAAAGGGAATTACATGTCTTTTCCTTTGCCCATGTCCTCTTCTATAATCAAGGCAACTTAATTAACATTTATTAATGCCTACTTTGAGACATGTATTTGACTGGTTAGACTCTGGGACACAAAAGGCAATAAAAAGTTTTAAAATTATATCTGTATATCTAAGATTCTTAAGGGCAGACACAAGGTACACATGCATTTGTTTCCAATGCAATATCTATTGCTGTTTTCAAAATGCAGTACTCAGTACTCAGGACATTCATGGAACTGAATTAAATACTAAACACTCTCCTGGGAAGAAAACATTTACTACCAAAAAATTATTTGTCTTAACTGGGAAAACAGAATCAAATATTTAAAGGTTTTTAGAGAATACACAGAAAGTTAGATTGATCACTGATTATATCACCCTGAATAAGATCTTAATGGGATAAGTTCACTCTACCAGGACACTAATTTCCAAGGAAACCAGGCTACTTCAAATGATAAATTCCCAAAGGGTCAAAGTTTCAGGATTATATTTTGTTCTAGGTAAAGATGGTTATTGCCTCACCTCATAGAAATCTGTTTCTTATACATTCTTAGGAGTGTATATAGAATTCATAAAGTTGACTTCATGATTTAAATACCTATCTAGTCAATGTATCTGGGAGATACCCCTTTTCTCTCTGACCTAGTCACATTTACAAAGCCTTAAAGTGAGTACCTTCAAGACTACGTGCCACTGCTGAAAAGCCAGACACAATGGGATCTTTCTGCTCTACAGACCTAACAAACTTTCCGCTTATTCCCCATACTTCCATTTCCTTTCTACCTTAGAAGCACAACAGATACAGAAGGGTTCTTTCAAAAGATAGCACCAGGAACAAAAAACATTCAGTAAGTTATGCAAAAAGAAAGACGTTCTTGAAAATTGTATTTATTAATAACAGAAAAAATGAAGTCACTGCTGAAAAACCAAAGTCCCAGTGCCTGGTGTCTGTGATGCTAGGAGCGCCTGGCTTGAACACAGCTTCTCCCTCAGTGACACACCCCATTGGAAAAACCTCAGCAGAGCATGTAACAAATACTCCACCAATTACCAAAACTCAAATTAGGGGCACCAAGACCTAAATCAAGGGGCAGCCTCTGAGAATAGAGAAGAGAAACACACTCTCCTTTTGCAAGAGGAATCTACACTAAAAATAAAAGAGATGCTATTTCTGTTTCCCAAGAGACCTGTTAGCATAAGATCATTTTGGTATTCCAGTAGGATGAGAAGACCAGATGGGCCTTGCACATGGCATTCAATCTCTGACAAAGATGTAGTCATTCTAAGGCTAAATGTATGAGGTGCTCTGAGACAGGTACAAGGAAAATTTTATCAGATAAATTTAGAATCAAGAATAATTTAAATGCATTTAACTTTGTTGGGATTGAAACAGCTGAATTCTGAACTCAGACAGACTAAATCTCAGCTCTGTCATTTTCTTCCTTCCTTCTGTCTTTAGTTGAGACATATGTGTCTTGGACAGTGCTAAAAACCAACTACATGGGTCTGAACAAAACTGTCATAGTCTCTGCCCTGATACAGCTTTTAGTCTGGTGGAGGGAACAGATATTATAAAATGCAAATGTATGACATATACTAATACTTTAAGTGCTATAGCACCAAAAAAGAAATCAAAATTTAGAGAAAGTACAAAAAATTGGGAGTGGCATGAGCTATAAAACTTTTTTTTTTTTTTTTTTTTTTGCAGAACCGGGGATTGAACTCAGACCCTTGCACTTGCCAGGGAAGCGTTTATTCTACTGAGCCATCTCCCCGGCTCCCTATAAAACTATTTTATAACTATAAAATTATTGAAAGATTAACTACAACAACATAAAAGTATCTAGCACATAATACAAGCAACAAGTGCTTTCCTTTTTTTTTTACAGGTGTTTTCCAATGACTTCTCTGTACACAGCCTATTGCTACCCATTCCTCTCCACAGAAACTGGGAAGTGCTGTGCACTGTTAGGTGGACTGTGAAAGAATTCCCTCTAAACACTGAAAATTGTTTCATATGTTGCTTTTCTACATGTTTTAAAGATAACTGTAACCTTAACTAAACCTCAACCTTCTCTAAGCATATTTGGATTCCATTCCTGTTTAGTATCCTTGAAATAATTTATAAACTTTACCCTTTTGGTACCATGGGATATTTACTGCTAAATCAAATTATTCTCAAGAAACGAACAACATCAAGAACTCAGACTAATTTGTTCTAATTAAAAGAAATGCCAAAGAAACACAACTAAAGACTTCCCTATTGGGTTGAGAGTATATGATTAATAGAGTACCCCATTGTGGACAGCTTTCTGAAAAATGTTAAAATCTCATTTTAGATCTTAATTATTCTTTTCCTCTCAGCAAATATTCAACAAGCCTTAATGTCTGACAAATCCTAATTCAGGTTTAGTAAACTTCTAAGTCAATAAAAATTACAATTTCCAATTATCCTACTTTCATCAACTTATATGAATAAAACTAATCCAAACACCTCCTCAATTTCCTCTGGCTACATAACTTGGACTAGAGTGCCCTTAATTCTTTGTTTTCAATGTGGCTCTTCACTTACTAAGGAAAAAAGTGATTTTTGTGTACATTTCGGGGACATGTGTCAGACACCTTCCAAAAGGAAAGTAGCAGGCAGAAAAAAAAAAAAAAAAAGAACATATGGGACTAAAAGAAGGAATAGTCAGGAGTGAGGGAAAAAGGAAAATCAAGGGGGAAGAGGACTCATTACACTATAAATCATTTTAGATAAAAGTAGTTCCAATGAGCTTTCCAAAACTATATCATGCACTACATACCATATATGAAACCTAATTCACCTCATTCATTACTCTAATAAATAGAAGGATGCTTCTGATTCATAGGTGTAATGAGTGAGAACTTTCTGAAGGTCTTCCAAATATAATAATACAGAAATATATATAAATGATTATATATGCCCAGTGAATTCCAACTTACTCTGGTTTTTTGAGAAAGGCACACATTATCTAAAAATCCCTACAGTTGTATTTAAAAAGGCATTAAACTGAAATCAGAATAAACATGAACCAAATTCAGAGAAAAAAAAACTAGAGTGCTCCTTTAAAGTTAGTATTGTCTTATACAAACAAGTGTAAATCCATTTTATGATCCTATAAAAATCTATTTCAATCACCTCTGGTTTCACTCTTTTTCCTCCTCTTGTTAATTATTGCAATGAAGTTGAAAAGACACGTATTTCTTCCATCTATTCAACCATGTACTCTCCTCACAAAGGTCCAGATTCTCAAAGTTTTCTGATGCTCCCTTGTTTACACATATATTTTCAAGTCTTAATGTCTTAGTCTTTTCCCAGACATGGCCTCTAAGCTCTTTGTCCTGAAACTTAATTTCTAGAAGGAAACTGCCTCTAACCAGCCAAAGAATCAACATAATCAGTAGACTCACATACGGCCACTAACAGGATAAATCTCAGAAAATTTCCATACCTTGAAGCTGTCAGCCATTTGTGCACTCACTGCCATGTCAGAGATCATATTGGGGACAACAATCTCACCTTAAAAATTAAGTGTTAATGCTGTAATATGCATAATGATGACAGAAAAGTAAAATTCGTATACAGAATGATAGATCTGGATTTCTTCCTTATCTTCAATGAAACTCAGAATAATAGGAACCAAATTAAAACCAAGCTATAGCTTTTTTCTCAAGAAAAAGAAGATTCTGTATTCTGTAGACTTGAATTCCATTAAAACTGCTACTTACTTATTTGCCATGCCAGAATCAAAAAAGGACAAATAATAATTAACTATCAACATACCTTTTGTTGTACGTGTGTGTTCCAAAGGTATAAAAGAGCCCAGAGGTGAATTAAAAATAGAAAATCTGCTTTTATTAATGAATTCATTCACTTAAATTTATATGAAACTGTGAGCTGAAAAGAAAGAGAAAGAGCTAACTCCAGTACAGTTTGTATCCAAAGAAAACTCCTCCCACACAAACTAGTAACACATCATTTTAAATCCTTAGTGTAGAGACCATCTTTTCTTCCTTTGTCACCACTGGGCTAAGCCCTAAATGCTAAGCAACTAATAATAATAGACAGCATTACATCATATGAGTAAATATTTTGACTAATTAAACATTAAGAATAAGTCTCTCTTGCCAGTCATTTTGGAAGAGGATGCACTGCAAATTAATCTTTTTCATCATTATTACCCTATATTTGTAAAAGCTTTCAGCAAGATATATGTAAGTGATACAGATAAAATGAGTGAAAATGCACAAAATGTTTCACCTTCAGTGGAAATATTTAACTCATATGATGATGGTTTGAAGCTGGCAAATATTTAATGAAATGATTTATAACAAAATTCCAGAACAATATAAAATATGTACTTTGGATACAGCTATGCTAAAAATGATTAAAGGTAATATATAACTAAATAAGCTAGATTTTGTTAATTATTCAGACAATCTTAATAAACTAAGTAGTTACTAAAATTTTTCTAGTAATACATTACTTTTTTCTGAATGACATCAGAAAGTATTTCACATGTTGTACAGATCGTTATGTTCTAAAACAGCTAGCTGGCTGGTGCATTTATTGACATTCCCTCACCTTACACTTGAGGCTAATGCCCAGCTCAAATAATGGTTTTATTTCCTCTCTATTTATATTTAATCTTTTAAATACTAATGTGATGAAGATTACTAGAAAATAATTAAGCCTGCTTTCTTGGTTAAAAACAAGCCCATAGAGCAGGTTTTTAGGAGAAATATTCAAATTTATTAATAGCTCTTAGAAAATTGCCCCCAAGCCCCACATTGTTTCTAATCTCGAGTTAAGAAGAATTTTTCTCCAATGGGCACTGAATCACTTTAATGTTGATTCTTGGGCAGCCATACTCCACCTTCAAATGTAACCAGTAAATTCAGCTTTACTACAGGACTATAAAAATGTGAAAGAACCATAATAGCATCTAAAAAAGAGCTGTTGGCACTACATTAGTTTAGAGAAAACCCTAAACTGAATACTAATGCACAAAATTTAATGATATTTTGCCTAGTTGCCGAAAGAGTTATAATAATTATTTTGTCAAAATGTAAAAGTTATCTTGAAGGCATCTGAGACTATTACTCGGTGCAGAATAAGTCCCCAATTTTCATTGTTCTTTTGTGGAGCTTTCGTGGGGGTTTTTTTTTTCCCAAATATTAACAAATCATCAGTATACAGCCTCATTCTAATATGGTCCTCTGACTAAAGGTTTATCAAATGAATGAATGAATGAATGAATGAATGAATGAATGAATGAATGTCAATATGCCAACTTTCCTGACTGACATCCTACATGGATTCATTTCACACCAAATTCCACTTCATGGTAAACAATAATATGAATTTTCAGTAAAATACTCAAACAGAATCGATACAATTTTACTTCCCTTTTCCTTTATAAACCACGACCAAATTTTTAGAGTTGAAAAGTAAAAACCAAGATCAAAATTAGGCATGTTGTTTGAAATTAGCGAAGATGAAACACTTCAGTGGCAGACAAAAGCCCTGATTTTAAGAGTAGGTTTTTGCCTTCCTTGAAATGCCTAGCTCAGGCTGTGTATTTTTATGCCTGCAGATATTGGCATGTTTCACATTTAAGATTATGACACACCAATTTATTTTGAAATTTAAAAAAATCTTCCACTGCGCATGATTCAAGTGCTTCATGACTATCACTGATAATTGAGCAATTAACTTGAAGCTACTAAATGTGCTGTGATGGCATAATATGTAGTAAGCAACATGAAAGGATAAAGAACAGAAGAACTTGGTACAGTGGGGGGAAAGTAATAAAGACTAAAGTGGGCTATAATAATAATAGTACTGAGTAAGTTTTAATGGTCCAAGATCTCAGTGGTTTAAATGTACAATAAAAGGTTTTAATGGAACAAGTTCTGAGTATTACTAACTTCTTCTAAAGCAGTTTGTTCTGTTGCTACAAAAAGAAAGTTTCTGGCTAGTCTTGCGTAATATTCAGGGATTGGTCCAAAAAATAAGTGAGGGAGTTTCACAAAACAATAAAGTTAAAAGTCTTGACAGGAAGATTTTGAAGAAATACAAGATTGCAAAAAGTAGTTGTAAGGTCATGCTTTAAGTATAAAACAGACAAAGCAAACAGTTTAGAAGTAAAGATGTCCTTGCAAAGGCTTCAAGCTATTGTAAACATTTTTACAAATTAAAAGTTAAGATGCATGGTGGATGACAGAAGAGTGGAACCCAGCTCTCCTGGAAAAACCAGAATGTTTTTTACTACTCATTTCATCAGGTTTCTACTACTGGTCTTTTCCCAGCTAAAACTAGTGTAACAGTAAAGAGCAGCTTTTCTGTGCTTAAATATAGATAGTGAAGCAAATTCCATAAACCTAAATCCTACTGTATTTCTTTGGCAGGCCATTTAAAAGGCTTGCAAGAAAAACCAACAATTTAGAGAGTCAGAGAAAGAGAGATTCGAAACTATAGCAAATAAAAGACACTATTAAAAAATAGTTTTTTCTCAATATTCCATCAATATCTCTGCAAAACACCACTGGAAATTAAAATTAGGCCACACTGTCCTTTCAGGTATAAATTAGAAAGAGAAAGAGAAAACATAAAAAATACCTATCTAAGGATACTAGTATATAAAACTTGAAAGCTTAAAATGTAATGGATGTACACATTCAGATTAGCAAACTCCTTTCAATTAAAGTAGACTTCTGGCCAGAGTTCACAAATGTATAGTAGCTGTGTGTATTAATGTAGAAACTTCAAATGTCAGTATATCTCTAATTAACATGAGCACACAACTGTAAAACTGAGAGGGCACAATTTTAAATTCCTTACATTCTCAGCATTAATGCTTTCATGGGGCAGCTCCCGTTGTCATGGAAAATGGCATTCAAGCCCTATTTGTGGATTTTCACAGCTCATCTTTTTTATTTACCTGCTCTATGTCAAGATTAGCCTGGAATAATATTTTTTAAAGATAATGCACTTAGACCTACTTGTCCTTAAAATCACAGATGTTCTCACTGAGGAAGCTTTGGTAGGGGCCATGCTCAGTTCGAAATAGATTTATTTCCATTTTAAAATATCACAAAGGCAGGAATTTGTGATTCTTTTTGAATGTTTCCTAAAATTCTGTGCAACTCAAAAAAATTTCAGCTGAAGCATGGCATGTGGCAGTTTCCCTAGAGTAGGAAAATGTCAGGAAGGACCAAATGCTGCAGGGATGTGGAAAAAAATAAAAAATAAGTGCTAGAAGACTGAAGCTCTCCTCTGACTTACTCCATTTTAACTTTTCAAAAGTATCTGTATAGCAACCACGTGAAACCTGAGAAACCAAGTGATCAAAGACAAAAAGAGAGCTAAATTATCTCTCCAAAGAGACAGTGTGGCATTAATAGAAAGAGTACTGAATTGACACAGTGAACTCAGAGGTGAGCCCTGCTACTCTGCAAAAATGCAGATGCTTCCTACATATCCTACAGAGTTTTTATGAAATTTAGGTAATTAATGTCTCCACAAATCAAGTGCTATATCAACTTCAGATACTGTTACTATTATTTCCTCAAACCTTTGGTTAAATAATTATTGCTTTCTGTATCAGACAATAAAATACTTCTCAGAGACCATGCCGGAAGGTTGCTATTAGAGACCATGAGCTGAGACAAAATTTTATAAAAGGGAATTGATTGTCATGTTATTAAACTTGCTTAGGTAACCTAGAAAAAATAAATACTTAATAAACAATCTTTGATTTTGTTGTTGCTCCTGTTGCTGCTGCTGCTGTTTGTTTGCTTTGTTTGTTTTGTTTTGCTTAACCAATCATTTATTGCCTGGTATAACTCAATAGTCAGACTTGCACAATTATTTATTCATTAGAGATAGAAAATTAAATTATAATACTGAAAAGCAAAACAAGGTCTTCTTCCATGACACTTACTTTGGGAAAAGTGTTAGCTTTATTTTTAAAAAGGGACAAAAATCATTAGAATAGGATATAGCTTCTGAAGAGTTAACCGTATTTCTTCACCACATGTTCCTCTTTTGACCTGGGCAGTAGATGTGAGTAAGTAAGATTCCAATCGGTTCTCACACACTCTTGGTGTGGCCCATTCATTATGGATGTGCAAACAATATCCCACCTTCCTTATCTTACAGACTAGCTTCTGTACTGAGAAGCCTTCCCATAGCCGTGGGGTATAATTTTCTGCCTTAGATCATGTAGCACATAAGCAGTTCCAGAGCATGGAAATTAAAGTTCATAAAAGCCACTGTCACTGATCTCATTTACTTGTTCGTAGGTCTATCAGGTTAATATTTCTGTTGTTTCAGCTGCCTCAAAAGTAGTGTAAGTGATAGACAGTTTCCACAATAGTTGAAAGAAATAGAAAGTTAAACATTCTGAATGTCATGTTAGCTTTATTTCACTTATTTTAATCATAGCACTCTTCTGCATCTCTATAATAAGAAGATTCTGCAGTTAGGAGACAGTGCTGATGAAGTTTGACATCACTGCGCCAAGGAACAGCAAAGCAACATACAGTAATTCTCAAAACTAGAAAACAATTATTTTAGGCCTGCATATTGTGACTTCTGATTCAATACCAAATAAAACAATATGTATCCAAACTAGGGGTAAAAATTGAGTGGTAAAATTTTGGCCAAGTCTATATGAGACTCTGGGTTTGATCTCCAGTAGGGGGTTAGGAGGTGCATGTCTTTTACCTTAGTTACACAGGAGGCTGAGGTAAGAGGATCATTTGGGCACAGGATACTAAGACCAGGTTGGACAACATAAAATAAAAATTTCTGTCAATAGTTCCTTTTCTATTTCTAGCCTTCCTTTTTCTTATATCACAGGAAAATTTTCCTCTAATTGGATCACTTCTGTTTAAAACTAATCTATGGGTATCTCGGGTGGAAGGTTGGGGGTAGACAGTGAATTCAGAAAATAAATCATTTAGATGATAAACTATATTTATACAAAAGAAAGGACAAGAGCCAGGGAGATAGTTTGGCTGTCTTAGTGCCTGCCTGGCAAGCATAAGGACCCAGGCTCAATCCCCAATACTGCATGTTGCACCACGTCTATGCCATGCTGGCCACTGAAAATGGCCTGGTGATGCACACCTGTAATCCCAGTGCTGGGGAGGCTGACACAGGAAAAGCACTATGAGTCCAAGCTGTGTAGTGAGACCTTGTACCAAATAAATGAGAGAGA